AGTAGAAGAAAAGAAACCATAAAGATCAGAACAGAAATAAATGAAATAGAAACAAAGAAAACAGTAGCAAAGATCAATAAAACTAAAAGCTTGTTCTTTGAGAAGATAAACAAAATTGATAAACCCTTAGCCAGAGTCGTCAAGAAAAAAGGGAGAAGATGCAAATCAATAAAATTAGAAATGAAAAAGGAGAAATCACAACTGACACTGCAGAAATATAAAGGATTATAAGAGACTACTGCAAACAACTATATGCCAATAAAATGGACAACCATGAAGAAATGGACAGATTCTTCGAAAGGTACAATTTTCCAAGACTGAACCAGGAAGAATTAGAAAATATAAACAGACCTATCACAAGTAATGAAATTGAAACTGAAGTTAAAAATCTTCCAACAAACAAAAGTTCAGAAGATGAAGATGGCTTCACAGGCAAATTCTATCAAACATTTAGAGAAGAGCTAACACCAATTCTTCTCAAACTCTTCCAAAAATTACAGAGGGAGGAACACTCCCAAATTCATTCTATGAAGCCACCATCACCCTGATACCAAAATCAGAAAAAGATATCACAAAGAAAGAAAACTGCAGGCAAATATCACTGATGAACATAGATGAAAAAGTCCTCAACCAAGATACTAGCAAACAGAATCCAACAGCACATTAAAAGGATCATACACCATGATCAAGTGGGATTTATTCCAGGGATGCAAGGATTCTTCAGTATATGCAAATCAATCAATGTGATGCACCATATTAACAAATTAAGGAATAAAAACCATATGATCATCTCAATAGATGCAGAAAAAGCTTTCAACAAAATTCAACACCCATTTATGGTAAAAACTCTCCAGAAAACGGGTATAGAGGAATAATAAAGGCCATACATGACAAACCCAGCAAAGATCATACTCAACAGTGAAAAACTGAAAGCATTTCCACTAAGATAAGGAATAAGACAAGGATGTCCATGCTCACCACTCTCATTCAACATAGTTTTGGAAGTCCTAGCCATGACAGCGAAGGAAAAGAAATAAAAGGAATCCAAATTGGAAAAGAAGAAGTAAAACTGTCACTGTTTGCAGATGACATGAGACTATACATAGAAAGTCCTAAAGATGCCACCAGAAATCTACTAGAACTAATCAATGAATTTGGTAAGGTTGCAGGCTACAAAATTAATGCACAGAAATCTCTGGCATTCCTATATGCTAACAATGAAAAATCAGAAAGAGAAATTAAGGAATCAATCTCATTTACCATTGCAACAGAAAGAATAAAATATCTAGGAATAAACCTACCTAAGGAGGCAAAAGACTTGTACTGAGAAAACTATAAAACACTGATGAAAGAAAATCAAAGATGACAAAAACAGATGCAGAAATATACCATGTTCTTGGATTGGAAGAATCAATGTTGTGAAAATGACTGTACTACCCAAAGCAATGTACAGATTCAGTGCAATCCCTATCAAACTACCAATGGCATTCCTCACAGAATTAGAACAAAAAATTTTACAATTCGTATGGAAACACAAAAGACGCTGAATAGCCAAAGCAATCTTGAGAAAGAAAAACAGAGCTGGAGGAATCAGTCTCCCTGAGTTCAAACTATACTACAAAGCTACAGTAATCAAGACAATATGGTTCTGGCACAAAAACAGAAATATAGACCAATGATAGAAAGCCCAGAGATAAACGCATGCGCATATGGGCACCTAATTTACAACAAAGGAGGCAAGAACATACAATGGAGAAAAGACAGCCTCTTCAACAAATGGTGCTGGGAAAACTGGACAGCTACATGTAAAAGAATGAAATTAGAACACTACATAACACCATACACAAAAATAAGCTCCAAATGGATTAAAGACCTAAATGTAAGACCAGACACTATAAAACTCTTAGAGGAAAACATAGGAAAAACACTCTTTGACATAAACCACAGCAAGATCTCTTTTGACCCACCTCCTAGAGTAATGGAAATAAGAAAAATAAACAATGGGACCTAATGAAACTTCAAAGCCTTTGCACAGCAAAGGAAACCATAAACAAGATGAAAAGACAACCCTCAGAATGGGAGAAAATATTTGCAAGTGAAACAACAGACAAAGGATTAATCTCCAAAATATACAAACAGCTCATGCAGCTCAATATCAAAAAAAACCAGCCCAATCCAAAAATGGGTGGAAGACCTAAATCGACATTTCTCCGAAGAAGATATACAGATTGCTAACAAACACATGAAAGGATGCACAACATCACTAATTATTAGAGAAATGCAAATCAAAACTACAGTGAGGTATCACCTCACACTGGTCAGAATGGCCATTATCAAAAAATCTAGAAAAAATAAATGCTGGAAAGGGTATGGTGAAAAGGGAACCCTCCTGCACTGTTGGTTGGAATGTAAATTGATACAGCCACTATGGAGAACAGTATGGAGGTTCCTTAAAAAACTAAAAATAGAACTACCATATGACCCAGCAATCCCACTACTGGGCATATACCCTGAGAAAACCGTAATTTAGAAAGAGTCATGTACCACAGTGTTCATTGCAGCTCTATTTACAATAGCCAGGACATGGAAGCAACCTAAATGTTCATCAGCAGATGAATGGATAAAGAAGATGTGTCACATATATGCAATGGAATATGACTCAGCCATAAAAGGAAACAAAACTGAGTTATTTGTAGTGAGGTGGAGGGACCTAGAGTCTGTCATACAGAGTGAAGTAAGTCAGAAAGAGTAAAACAAATACCGTATGCTAACACATATATATGGAATTATAAAAAGCGGTACTGATGAACCTAGTGGCAGGGCAGGAATAAAGACGTAGACATAGAGAATGGACTTGAGGACACGGTGTGGGAGGGGGAAGCTGGGGCGAATTGAGAGTAGTAGCGACGTGTATATACTACCAAATGTAAAATAGATAGCTAGTGGGAAGCAGCCACATAGCACAGGGAGATCAGCTCAGTGCTTTGCGATGACCTAGAGGGGAGGGATAGGGAGGGTGGGAGGGAGGCTCTAGAGGGAGGGGATATGGGGACATGTGTATGCATATGGCTGATTCACTTTGTTGTACAACAGAAACTAACACAGTATTGTGAAGCAATTATACTCCAATAAAGATAGATTAAAAAGAAAATGCGAAATAAGAGGCAGCTTTCTCAGGTAAACTCCTAGTGGGCCAAGTGTTGTAAATTCAGATGCCCACAAGGGCTAGGCAGGCAGGGGGACGGAACGGCGAGGGTATAAGACACTAGGAGTGGTGGAGACTGTGTTGAAATAGTGAGCACATGACTGTGTTTGCCGCAGATGCTGCAGCCCGAGGTGGTCACTGTGGCCAGTGTTGCCAGGTCTTCTAATTTTTTAAGTGAAGTTAGAGATCCATTTCTTTAGTGTAAAAATTTCTTGTTTTTTTTATTTTTTTTTTCTTACCGGCAACGAATTTTAAATATTTTTAAGCACTGTGCAAACACAACATACCTGGGACTCCAAGGGCTGCTAGTTTGATGTCTGTACCATAGATAGTAGGAGGAAACCCAGGGCCGCCTCTTATCAGCACCCATGCCCTCCCAAGGAGAATTAGTCTTCAGTATATGGTTTACAGAATGCTTTCACATCCACAACTGACTTGAACCTCTCAATCAGGGACTTTTTTTTTTTTTTTTTTTTAAGGTAAAGAGGCCCAGGGAGGTTTTGTGCTTTGCCTGAGTTAACACTGCCCTGGTGGAGGTCAGCCTCCTGCTGTTCGGTCCACAACTTAAACTATTTCTGCTCTCTCTGGATGGAAAGGCAGGGAACAGCTGAGCCTAGGATAAGAAAGTCAATTCTGGGCAGCTGAGAGGCAGAGAGGAGGCGAGCTGAGCAACGTGAGCAGCTGCTTTGGGACCCCTCTGAAGTTCCCTGAGTCTCACACCGTGGTTAGGACTGACAGCCCCGACTTTCCCCAGAAAAACGAGATGAAGCTGGTGCTGCCCAGTGAAGGGCTGGGCCCTGGAAGACGCCTCTCCTTGATGTGCGTGATCACTGAATCTGAAGAGCTATGACCTCAGGTTCAAGGTTCCCCCTGGAACTTGGAGAGAAAAGGGAAAGCATCTGAATCCAGTCCCTCCCTCAGGCAGAGGAGGCCATGGCTTTCGATTCCTTATGGCTCCCATCCCCCCGCCTCTCCCCAGGGCACAGGCTGGAGGAGGCCTCTGAATCCACGCATCTGTTATGACCACCACGTTCTTTTTTTTTTATGGTACGCGGGCCTCTCACTGTTGTGGCCTCTCCTGCTGCGGAGCACAGGCTCCGGACGCGCAGGCTCAGCGGCCATGGCTCATGGGCCTAGCCGCTCCGTGGCATGTGGGATCTTCCCGGACCGGGGCACGAACCCGTGTCCCCTGCGTCGGCAGGCGGGCTGTCAACCACTGCGCCACCAGGGAAGCCCCATAGGCTTCTTCATTCAAACAAAATGCACGACTTAACCCAGAAGCTTCTAGGTTTTAGTTTCCTAATGGATCAAGGATGCTACCCAGGAGCCAGACTGTGACCTCCCAGTTTCTAAAGGGTTTGGGGAGGGCCGGTCACCTGGTAACTAATGAGCCCACAACACACACACACAGTGCCCCCTCCAAGGGCAGCCCTTCCCTCAGTACATGTAGGCCCTGTTGGACACAGTGCCACAAACAAAAGGGAAAACCGCACAGAAAAAATGAAATATAAAAATAGAGATTTCAAATTCTCATACTGTATTCTCCCATTCCCAACCAATATTTTTCTCCCTGGGAATGGAAGGAGCACACGTGCCCTCCCCACCTCACACCCCACCCGCCCCACCTGCTGCCCATCTTCTTCCCTCACCAGGGAAGTGACTTGGCTTTAACTCAAATAGAAAAAATATGGGGAAACTTTTCTGAGAGGCTCAGGTCGAGGGGGTGTGCCTGAAGCTTAGCACATCTGGGCATTGCCCAAGCAGACTGTGTGAAGGCCTCATAGCCACAGCACCATTGTCTGTTACTTTCTCATTATCCCCTCAGCCTCTGGGATCAAAGCAGATGAAAAATGGATGAATGGTGACCTGTCCAGTCTGGCTGTTGGACTCACCCAGCTCCCAGCAGCGCTCGCAGGAAGGGAAGCTCACATTTATGATGAACAATGTGCCAGGTACTTCCACCTCATCCTCCTATTTCATCTTCCCTGTAGTCTGTGAGTCAAACAATGCCGTGTGTGGTTCATGGGGGAGAGGCTATACAGGTGGTCCAGTATTGCAGAGATTATAAGTGGCCAAGCGAATATGTGAACCCAGGTCAGTCTGCACCCCAGGCTGTCCTCTTTTCCCAAATGCAGGCCACTTAGATAGAAATCTATCAGACTTACTCTTCCCAGGGCCACCACTACAGGGCACAGCTGTGCAAGTTGTGAACTGCTAGCTCTGAGGGGCGGTGTCCTCATCCATCTCTGCTTCTTGTGCCCCTAGAGTAGTGTGTGGCACAGCTGCACACCTGAGGTGGCAGCCCTGCCTCCCACGACAGCAAAAGTAAATTCTGGTGAAATAACAGATTCTTTGCTGGAGGTTGGCTGGGATAAAGTGTTTAATCAGCTACCCCAAATGTGGACGTATTCTAAGAAATACCACAGTATTTTTCTTTGGTTTAGCAGAAATTCCAGTTTTCAAGTTGTTGACTACTCTGTGCACAGGAGTTTATGGCATTAATTTAGGACCTGCCTCAGAACCAGAAGGGGCCAAGCCTTGCCTTCTGGGAGCTGAACTTGCAGTGTGAGAGACTGCTCAGCTGAACTGGGGAATAAGGAGTCATTCTCTCCAGTAGAAAAAACCCCCCAAAAACCCAGGTCTAGATAGGCCTCTTCAGCTCCTTTCAGTGCATCTTCCCCGAAGCTGGTGGAGGAGCCAGTGTCTCCAGGAAGGAGGGATCTGACTCTTGCCGCGTGTGTGACACACCCTGCAGGCTAGCCTAGGGAAGGAGAGCTGTTAGCTGCCCTGGATGAAATCCCGCAGGGAACTTCCTAATCAGAAGAGAAGGGCCCTGGCATCACACACATGGAAGGAGGCAGTGGGAATGCGTGAGGAAGGTATCATTTCTGAAAAGAGAGTGTGATGTGCCAGGCAGGGTTTTTAATATTCAGGTTGAAAAGGGTTTTAGATGCAACCTGGCATCATGGGCAATAATCTACTTTAATTCAATTTGTCATAAAAAGATGCCACTTTTTATATAACACATGAGAAAATGCCACACTTATCTTGCTAAGTAAGTACCTTGGCTCCACTCATGTGGCCAGAGCCCAGTACACACAGAACATCTGGGGTCAGGTCACTGTACCTGGTGGGTCAGCTGTGACACTGCTTCAACCACATAGCTCAGGTCACTAGACTAGGTCTGTCTCCTGCAGGAAGATGCTCCTGCAGGTCCACTGCCTCATGGGAAAAAAATGATATCCAAACCCATGACCATAAATTGTCCCTTGCTTCATTTCACTTTCTCCTGATGCCTTGTCAAGCCAACAAAATAGAGAGAGCTTCTCCAGCCCTGCGAGACTGGTATCCCAAACCCAGCCGGGCAATTCACGTTCAGTTCTCTTAACCTTCCCGTATCTCCTGTTTCCAAATGCACAACATTAATCTGTACATAGCACACGTTGCACCCAAATAATTGGCAAATGTCCTTTCTCAGCATAGTCAGTGGGATCAGATAAACAACTGGAAATTTAGCCACTCCACTCCTCTGTCCCTTGGAGATTAAGAAAAAATTGCACATCTAGGAACGATATGTGCAAAGGTAGTCTCCTGGCAATTTGCAGCCAATTACAAGTATACATTGCTGTGCACAATGGATGTGCTACTGAAAAGGTTATATGCAAATTGAATTTTTGTAAATTGAATTATATTTAACATGCACCAAGGGAACTGGCTATTTTAGGGACACCAAAGTTGAATTCATTTTGTGGAGCAGGGAACCCTTTGTAAAGCAAATTACCATCCTTCGATTCATATATTCTTTGATAAGGTCAGGTTTTATTATTTTGCACCTTTTTGAACTAGAGCATGCCTACAGTGTTAAAATGGTAATAATAAGATATTCAGAGACTTCACCAAATTCTAGAAGTAAAAGAAGGACAGAGTGAAAACTAACTTTGATTCTCCTCCTAAAGGAAAGGATGAACTGGACAACAGGGAGACTTTCCAGCATCGACTGGCCAGGCTCCTAGACTGTTAAGTTAAAGTAACAGCCAGCCTAACCAGGGCCTTGTTAACCCTTAGGCCCTCTTATCACAGGGCCTGGGGCCTAACAGCTTTTCAATGGCCTAACAAATGTCTGAAAACTGAAAGAACACAAAGGGAAATTGCAAATCAAAATTAATAAATGTTTAATTAAAGAGCTACACAATGTAAAATCATCATGTCAACTTCATTAATTGTTAAGTTTTGTATTCATGAAAATTTAATAATTACCTAAGAATAAGAAAGGAAGAAACAAAACTCATTATTCACAGCTGCTATAATGGTCCACATAAAAAATCCAAAGGAATCTATAGATAAACTGTATTAGTCAATAGAGGCTGGATTATGCTGTGTTAACAATTAATCCTGAAATGTCAGTGACTTAACACAACAGCAGTTTATTCCCTTCTCATGCAGTCTGTTGGAGTTCTGAGTGACTCTCTACCATGTAGTGCTTCATCAACCCAGACTCTGCTGTCTCAACTCCAGGTGTTCACACCTGTTTCAGCAGAAGAGAGAGATGAAAAAATCGTGCAGGAGATTTTCACTGCCTCAGCCTGGAAGTCACCCACATCACTTCCACTCCCATTTCATTGGCCACAACTGGTCACATGTCCTCTTACTACAGGGTACTTGGGAAGTGTAGGCTTTTTTTTTTTTGGTATGCTCAGGGAGACCTGTAATTTCTACCATGTAAACTATTAATAAGAGCTCAGCAAGATCAATATACTCAAATCAATAGCATTCCTATACACCTGTAACAAACAATTAGAAAATGTAAATTTAAAAAGATGCCAACTTAGGGCATCCCTGGTGGCGCAGTGGTTGAGAGTCCACCTGCCAATGCAGGGAACATGGGTTTGTGCCCCGGTCTGGGAAGATCCCACATGCTGCAGAGCGGCTGAGCCCATGAGCCATGGCCGCTGAGCCTGCACATCCAGAGCCTGTGCTCTGCAACGGGAGAGGCCATGACAGTGAGAGGCCCACGTACCGCAAAAAAAAAAAAAAAAAAAAAAGCAAGGAGAAATAAGAAGATGCTAACTTAAAATGCAACCAAAGCCATTAGAACAAATCTAACAAAAGATATGCAAGATCTTTATAGAGATTAATTATAAAACTTTATTGAAGGATAGAAAAGATGTCAATCCTCTCCAAATTAATCTAGAGATTAAATGCAAATTTGATTTAAACACTGAGTTTTCAGTGGTGGTTAGTAAGCTGATTAAGTTTGGGGATTTCTCAAGTGTTCATGACATCACTGGAGCATAGTTCAAAGCCACTGCAAGAATCAAAATCAGGTAGCACAGCAGAACAGGGACAGGCAGAGATGTCTGCAGAGACAGTAACAAAATGATCCAAAAGGTGCCGTGATTCAAAGTGCCAAGTCCACCAGGAGGTAAATGAAAACTGCCTTCCAAACATGGTTGACTATACATATGTTCTTTTCAGTTCAAGTAGCCCAAGACCCAGGAGGGTAGAATAGATATGGGGGTTGGGGAGAGGAGGCAGATTACAGGGAAGAAAATCACAAAGAGAAATCTTTACATGTGACCTTGAGTCTTAACCATGTCCACATAATTTAGGCACATAATTTAGGCATAATTTAGGCACAAAGGATCTACTCTTACTTACACATATTTTTCGAAATGGAAAAATCCATACACATCATGTTTTCTCAGAGTCTGAGCACTTGCAAATCACCAGCTACACCATTCCTTTCACCTATATTTAATTTAATTAGTCAAGAAGTGGGTCATGGAATGGACCTTGACCTCCACCTTCAAATAAATAAAACAAAATTTTCCTAAAAATGATAGATTCATACCCAGTTTTCTTTTTGATCCCCATTAAATCAATGACAATGAACAAAGTGGCTCCTTAGTATTTATTCTGAAGTCAGTTGCTTTTAATGCATGTCAGGTAATCCTACAAATGAATTCCACCAACATTTGTGGGGACTCTCAGACAAATGCTGAGCACGAATATAAAGAAGTGTTTCCACAAAGAACTCTGTGCCTTACACCCGCACTGTAGGCTACCGTTAGCGCAGGACAGTGCCGACATGCCTGTTTGATGTTTATCCACCTTTCACACAAGTCTGTAGCGACAGCAATAACCTGAGAAGATCAGAGAAGCCTCAGAGACCTTTTAGAGTCACTCATTTGTTCATTCGCTCACTCATTCATTCAAATCAAATCTTCATCAGACACTTAATATGCACAAGACACTATGTTAGACTCTGGACACCATCTATTCACAGATCTGTAAAGTTTTACAATTTGTTTTCTTTGTTAGAAGTACCAGTAAGGGCACAACACCTCTCAGGGGGGAGTGCTCTACTTAGCATTGGAAATTGTGGTGTGGTTCAGCAGGCAAAGTAGATCACTAAAGATTACTATAGGCTAAGGGGGTTCTAAGTCCTCATGTATTCCAGAATGACCCTGGGACCTTAATCTGAATATATGGATAGCGGGAGGAATGCCTTCTCTCCGGGGTATAATAATGGCACATTTCTAGCAAAACTGATGGCTGCAGATATGGGGCAGGGAAGGTAGTCTGTGTAGTGGAGGGAGGCTGGAGAATCCTGGGTTCCCCTGTGAGCGGGATACGTGGAGAAATCATTCAGCCTTTCTGTGCCTCAGTTTGCTCATTTGTAAACCAGGGACAACAGTGCCCTCCTCGAAGGTTATTGTGACAAGTAAGATACCATGAGAGACGTGCTCAACGCAATATCTGGCATGTGGCAAGTACCCAGATGAGCACTGAAGGAACCAACAAATGAAGGAATGGAAAAGTAGCTCATGTAGAAGCCAGAGAATAGGACAGAGCACCAAGAACTCCACAGAGGAAAAAACCAGGGCGTCTTTTTCTTCTTACCCTTGCTCTCTTTCTTTTTGTGTTGGGCTAAGGTGGGCCAGGAGGGCCA